CCGGTGTGTGTGAGGCGATGCGGCAGGTACCGGGGTGTGTGTGTGTGTATGGGGAGGGGGGGGGGGTCCGCACCCCCTGCCCGGGGCGCCGGTTCCAAGATGGCCCCCGCCCTCCCCCGTCTCCCTCTGCCATCCGCCGCTCGGCTGAGCCCCCCCGGGCACGTTGGAGGGGCTGGGGCGGCGGGGGAGTCCCCTGGGGCCGTGCCCCCTGCCCGGGCGGGAGGTCCCCGCCGGCTGAGGCGGCTCCCGTGTAGCGTGAGGGGGGGTCCGGGTGGGCGAGTGCGGGAGGCAGGCCCGGAGCGGAGACTGCCGCCCTGAAATCCCCCCGGTGGGCGAGAGGGCGGGGGGAGAGGGGGGTTTAATCCCGGCTGGTGCTTGGCTTTTAAAACCCGCCGGGCTGTCGGGCTCTACAGCGAGTAGTGGATGTGACTGAACCATTAAGTGGCATCAGACTACGCAGCTGGGCTCAGGAGACCCATTAAACTTTAATTTATAGGTTATTGCTAGGTAGCATGAGGTATTTTTATGAATTGGCTGAGAAAAACTTCATTCACCTGTGAAAACAGCGCCTTACTGATTTTGTTAATGCCTACGTTTAATCTGTGTTGAGCGATACGTAGCATTATTAATTTGGCATGTTGCATGTGAAGAATGCGAATGATGATATTTGATGTAATAGCTCGGAAAAGCAGTAGATGCCTTTGCATGCTGCTTTTATGCTTTCACCTCTAAATTCCTAGCTTTGTTTTATTTAATCTGTATAAAAACCCTTGTCTTTCTGGATTTCCAGAGCTTTTTCTTTGAGTTCATTTGCTTTCTTAAACAGCTCACCAGTCTTTGCATTATCCTTCCCTCTAAATAAACTGTAGAAAAACTTCAGAGGCAATAGCCCTCAATGATTTTTGGAGTTCTTCCTTATGAAGAAAACTATAGTTCAGACAGTAGTGACCAGTATATTTAGACCTCATGGTCATCCTCAGTACTTGGATTCATCATTTGGGTTTTTTTTACAGTTAGATTTTTTGGATGAGATTCGGAGTTCTTCCTTTAAGTTCATCTCTAATTCATGTGGATTAACTCTAATCTCACTTAGAATTAACATCAGGATTTTACTAGGTACCACTGTTTTGGATTGAGTAAGTTTTTTTGAATTGAGAATGGGTGATGGCATGTAGCTTCTAAAAGCTGTCTTAAAGCAACAGTTAATTTAGGCTTTGGGATTTAATCTCATAGAGCTAGGGAGTAAATGAATGAATGAGACTCATTAGTTTCAACTGTGCCTGTTTATTCATCAGAATGACAAGGAGTAAAGCAGTAACTTAAATGGTGAAAAGTTGATTTAAATTATTTCATGCTTGGTATAGCTTTGGACTTTAATGTGAATGTGTTTATATTTACAAGTGTACATTTGAAAGGAGACAGAGGAAGCCCCAGAGCTGCAAAGTGCTGGCAGAGTACATCAAGGAAGGGTTGCTTATGTTTCCTCTGTTGTACTTTTCTGTAGGCGTCCACTAGCAGTACTTATTAGAGACAGGAGACTGTGTTAGATGAACCTTGAACCTGAGCTAGTATGGCATTTTTGTGTTTGTAATAAAATGTTTTCTGTAGCATGCAATTTGGAACTTAAATTCGAAATTAGGCAGGTGTCAGAGCTGTAAGTTTTTTAAGAATGTGGTATTGAAGTAACACCAGTGCAGAGAAAGCAGGCTAATGAATGCACTATTACTTTGGACGCTTATTTGTGGTTTTGTTAATGTTTATAGGACATCCCAACTCCTGATAGGAAACGGTCACAAGTATGTTTTCTAAGTGGCAACTTCCAGTCCTTTCCTGAGTGCCCTGTGGGAGTACTGTGCTTCTCACAAAGACGTTGTTTTTGAAATCTGCTGCAACTCCCATCTGTTCTTAAGATATTGCAACGTTGCCTTTCAGTGAAACTGCAGCCTTAGTTCTGCTTTCCTGTGCCGAATCTCTCCTTTTTATGTGGCAAGCACTTGGGCACCCATGAGCCTTTCATCTCTAGCATATGGAAGGGAGCAGAAGGGATCTATAAAAAGTAGTTCAGCAGCATCTTCCCTCTAAACTGGTTCCTCTGTGTTAAGGTTTACTGTAGAACTTGCTATGATAATAAGTAAAAGCAGGAAAAAAAATCCAGTCTTGCTGCTAGCAAAGTGTCTGTCAGTTGTCTTCTAGAATGTCTATTGGAAAGATGTGGTGAATTAAGTTTCACCATCTAGAACGATGTGAATTATGTGTAGGAGTCACTAAAGTTTCCCATGTAGTTGTGCTAGTGCAGTTTAATCCCAGCCTGTGGTGTTTGTACTCTTCCTGACCCCATCTCCTGAAAAATTTTCATCCTGGGTGCTACTGTTTCATGTTCATTAAGGAAAAGATACAGTATATTAACTTGTCCCTTCCTAATTTTAGTCTTAGAAATACAAAAATGTAACAGACTTTATTTATACCTGCTTTCAGGGGATCATGGTGTTTATATCACAAGTGGTACCATACTTACCTAATGCAGTGCCTTCCTCTGTATAACAGAAGCAGGGAGATGGGGAACAAGCATTATTCAATACACTTCAAATACCCTTTACAGTGCAGTTTCCTTAACATCCCCTGACAGTTCAGACCGCTAACTCTGTCCCATGCCATATTGGCTGTATGGCAGATCTGAGAACAGTGCTGCATATTTTACAGAGCCATTTTGAGCATTACCATGAGGTATTCAGTAAAGTTCTTTGACAAGCGAGTTTCCCAAGACAGAGGTAAATGATACAGGTATGCCGACACGCTCTTTATTTTAGCTATTAGTCTTGCATTTAGGGGAAAGCCAGCAGAAAACAAAAATTGTGCATGTCTGAAGATGCACAAAACTTTTCTTTGGTGTTCTTGAATATCTATGTTTGTTATGCTTGGCTGCCAAAGAGCACAACTTAATTTTTTCCCCCACTTTGGAAGGCTAACAAATTCCATGTGTTTTTAAGCAACAGCATTAAGCAGACTAGTTTCCAGGACTCCAGGTTTTGTCATTAAAAGGGTTTATCAATCTACGTTATGAACCATGGGTAGAATCACCCTTATCTCCCAATTGTTAGGTCTGGAGAAAAGATGAGCTACTAATGTGAAAGGGTTTCAGTATACTCAATCTCTTGGGATCACATCTTGTTACTGTGGCCAATATCCTGGGGTTTTTTTGTGGCTTTTCCATTCAGCTGTGAAGGCTCACGTCAGCCCACTATTGCCATTCTTATATTACTAACGTGAAATAACAGGTCAAGTTAAAATCCAGCCTAAAGAGTACCCCCTTAAAGAACGTCGTATTTTTTAAAAAGCAAATTTTATTAAAAAAAAAAAATCAACCTTGGCAGTTGTTTGCTAGTTTAAAGAATGAAAATTCAAGCTTTCTTAGTTCTCAAACCATGCACGCAGCTAAAAGCTCCTGAAACGAACTCATTGTTTACATCCTCAATGACATCAGTATTTAAAAACGATCATTGAACCAATCCATAAACTGTAACTACAAACTGTACTATGAAATTGGAGATGCGAACACTGCAGTTTGCAGCATGCAGAGGAGATGGTGACACATGGACACGGAAAGAATAGATTTGTCTTTATGCTTTCTACCCTGTTCTGGCTGTTAGATTCTTGCCATATGTGTATCAGGGTGGTAGTTCTGTTCCCAGTGTGTATTCCGTGGTCTGCTGCTCCATCTTGTCTCCTGCAGCTCATTGCCAAGAGGGCACATCAGGTAATTTCAGTTTGTATGAGGAGTAGGCAGTGCATAAATGCCAGGTGGAGTGTTGAAAAAGACATTTGCTGAATGTCAGTGTGCACAGCTAGTGATGGTTTCCAGGTTATTGCTGACTTTCCAAGGCAGAGTGATTAGCTATCATGAAGCAAAGAAATGAGCATCTTTACTACAAGCATGAAGACACAAGGACTTATACGGTTTTCAAAATAGACTCATTAAGTGCGATGGGAGAAGGCTTGCACCTGAAGTTTTGTACCAGAACTTGCATATTTTTCACCTAAAAAATGTGACTACACATCTGGGAAGTCTTACGGGTATTTATATGTTAGATACAGCTTAGCGGTACCCATTTTGAAATAATTATTTCACTTAATTACTGCTTTAAGACTGATTTGTCTAGGACAGGCATGGAGGCAGAAGAAATTTGCATGTTGAAAATCTCTCTACCTCCAGCCTAAATAAGTCCTTTCTGACTTCTCTTATTTCTGCAGAGCTTCATAGAGCAACAGTTGTTGGGAAGTTAACTACTTTAAACTTATGCTGGTAACATTTGGAACCCAAACATGAAAATATGTAATATTTCCAACACTGACTAGAACCAATGTCATAGTACTCTTGGCTTTCCTTTTTCCTTTAGGTTTCATAGATTCTCATCTCAACAGTCTGGAAAATGCATATCTTAAGTCGCTGCTGAAGTAAAGACGGTCATCCAGGTAGGCTTACCTTATGATTACTCTTTTGCCCACCATTTTCTGATACCAGTCGCTTGTTTTCTACGATCCTGAACAATGTGTGGATTAGTATGACACTGGCTACAAGAGTAATTTTATATCATGCTTAGTATTAATAAAGCTGTGAAACACCCTTGTACCAATTTGTGGTCTAAGTATTTTTAATTGTGTGTTCCTTTATTGTCTTGTAAAGACAGCCTCTCTTTTTTGACTAAATTTTCTCACATTATTTCATTATATATGATGGTATAAATTTTGAAAAAATAGGAAAGTGTATTGCTAATAGAGCCAACAGTTAATGATGACTGACTACAAAATACATTGTGCTATAAATTTTATAACAAGTTTAAGAATAGAGTAAAACTGCTGCAGAGCTACTAATTATGTGGTGGAACTTGGGAACATGCACATCTGTTTAAATAAAGAGCATAGAAAATCTTTAATATGTTCATAATGTATTCTTTGCTGGACTTCAGCAAATTAAGCTGTTCCAGAAAGAACAATGTCATTTCACATGTGAAATGCAGAGCTGCTGTTTCACAGACAATATGCCATGAATACTATCTAAAGAAATGGACGTGACATTGCTAATTATAAATAAAAGCAAGTGGAATATATTTATTTCACACATTACATGTGGCCATATTAGAAGCTTCAACTGGCAGATGGAGTGCGAGTTCTTTTGTGTTTTTAGAAAACACCTTGCAAGTTCAGCTGATAGAAGGCCTTGCTTTTTTTTTATCGCAGTCCAGAAGAGTTAATAACTGATCTAAAGAAACAGTTTTAAACTTCTTCTCAGAGGTTTGACAAATACAGTAATGAAGATTTTCAATGGTTTACCAGTTACTGTGATAGATTTTCAGTGAATAGCTGTTCATGAGCAGTTAATTATCTCATTGTAATCTGGGTCATTTGTGAAGCTGTGAACACAGTCAACTTTTGTGTGAGGATTGCACTGTGAGTGAAGTGTGTGTGTGGAAGGGGGAACACTGAAGCTGCATCATATTGAGACTAGCAGTGCTGGAGAAGTGACCAACTTCTAATGAGCAGCTTGCTCACTTGTTAAGGTGAATAGAGGATAAGTCTAAGGAGAGTATGAAATCTCCACTCTGTAGGCCATATCTAAAAATCCTTGCTCCTCCCCTACTGTTCTCCCTTCCACCAGCCCAAGGCAAGTTACTGCTGCTCCCACCAGGACAAACAGCAGCTCTTTGTTAGCTGCCTGCCCAGGGCACACCCTGGCTTTGCTGCTGCTCCCTTGCTATCTCTACATCCTAGAGACCCTGAAAGGAGCCTTCTGCTGCCTAATCTCCAAGGATAACTGATTCAGTAGGTCTATGTTACTTCCAGTACCTATATAGCTAACCTGTAACTTCTGTCCCACCAACTTAAGTTCTAGCATTTAATTTCCGATGGGGAAAGGAACATTCAGTCTGTACCACAGAGCTGTTGTAGGTTTCTTATTCAAAGATTGGTTACTTCTCCAAAGATCAAAATCTGTTACTTTAATAGCATCAAAACCAGGCGTGCTAGAAGTTCTGTCTTGGTGCTAAGAAGACGCTGCAAGTACTCTAGCCCAGCAAGTCTGAAACTGCCCTGACTGAGCTGCCGTGCATGGCTCCCTGCTTCGAAAGCTTGTCGCGTGTTTGAAATGCGATACAAGGCTGCCTTGGACCACCTTCCAGCTGCCACGACCAGTCTGAGCAAGGGTATCAAAATGGCAAACAAACCTCAGGGGATAAAACTGTGAATGGCATGCTTTGAGGTAAATGCTGAGTGGTGCCTTCGGTCCCTCATCTGACTGCTGTGAGAGTCATGTGTCTGGGCCCTGAGACCTGGAAACAGGTCGGGCGAGACACCCTGGGTGCTTCTGAGGAAAGAGTAATCCAACTTCAAGAAATCTTGATGGTTAAAGCAGAGAGGAAAAGTAATGTGCAGCAGCAGAGTAGTGAGGCAAGATAGAACTCGGTCATCCAGAAGACACATTTTTGGAAGGAGCGTAGAGAAGACGGTTGTTGTCCTTTCCTTAGAACCATGGCTACAGCTAGCAAATGTGGATGGTTGAAAACTGCCATAGTTTCCCCTCTCTTCATTTCTGCTTGAAGATAACTACTTCTAGTGGGTGGTGGGCGTGCTAGCACTCAGACTGAAGGAGAAATTATGACTGGAAATAGCAGATTTCAGGACTGCAACAGTGGAGGAAAATGTCTTCCTAGGCTATTAGATCTGGAAAGTTCTGCAGTGAGTGCTGTGAAGGGAAGGATTTGTAAGGCAGTTACTGGAGGAAATGGGAGTCAAAGGAACAGTCTGACAGCTTGAAAAAGTTGAAGACTTTATTGTGCCAGCTGTAACCAGTGTTCGTTTCGTAGAAGCTATGAAAACTTTTCTAACCCTATGTACTGTATTCAGTATTAAATATTTTAACTCCTACTTTGATAACTATGCATTTATTATTTAATAAAGATAATTAAGATTCCTTAGGACTTTTTACTGAACTTATTCACATTGATAAATGAAAATTGTTGAATGCTTTAATTTCAAAAGGAAAAAAGGTTGGAGTGGGCAACGGAAGGGTGTTAGAAACCAATTCAGAAATTTGGCTAACAGGAAGAATTTGTAGCTGACATAGCTGTGGAGGAAGAGTTTAAATATTTTTAGGTACAGAATGATATTGTAGCAGAGTTGTAAAACATTTTTATCCTGGATATGTGATTTAAAAAGTAATGCACAGATATTAATATGATGAATATTTGAATTTTGGAATTCACATTCCACACAGCACAGGAGACTTAGGTAATACCTGTTAGGAAAGGTTTGCAAACTCCGTAACCTTTTCTCACAGTAGGACCTGGCTGATCAACTAATTATATTTAATAAGTTATAGAATACCAAGGAAACCTCAGCTTCAAAATCCTACTTTTCTTTTTGTATTTGGAGAAGAAGTAGTGGAGTGTGACCCAAATCATTACTGGTTGGTTATTATCCCCTTAACTGCCTGGAAAAAAGTAGAGAGAAACATAATAACCACCATCTCTAATATGAAGACAGGTAGTCTTAACCCAGTAACTCTTTACCAGTGGTTCACTTCTGGCTCAGCAAACCAAAGGCAGTATTAGATTTTTTTTATTTTATTTTATTGCTCAGAATTAAAACATCTTGTAGGAAGATGGGTTTTAGTTAAATACTCTTTCTACTGCTTTATGAATAGAGGCAGACGGCAGCTGTAACACAGTGTTTAATTCTGTAACTTTGTTGTGTAGGTGGAAAAAGTGTAATCAATGATGACAGTTGAGTAAATGCCACTTCATTAAGGTTGAATTTACATTTTACTCCTCAGACTTTCAGCTTTATCACATTATTTAATGAGTTCCTGCTAGTGGTTTTGGCTTCCTATGGGTGATAGCAATTAAATTTGAAAGAAAGCAGAAGGCATTCTGGTTGTTTTATCCAAATACTGAACTCATCGTTTTACATGCTTCTAGCTTACCTCAGGGAATTAAATGTACCACCTTATTAAATTGCTTATTCTGTCTTCTCTAATGCTTTTATCTAGCTTGGATAAAGCATTAATATTTAAAATGTATGTATCAGTTCAATAGACACATGCATTACTTATCAAAACACTGCAGCTTATTAAAATAAACCTGCTGCCATCACAAGTAAAAGTCTCTGGAATGACATGTGGTGCCAGCAGGCACGTTGTACCTTTTCATAAGCTGGTCAGCTGAGATGGTGGCATTACTTCAGGAAGAAGAAAAACCTTCTTGGATGGAGTATCTCCAGATTCCTGAAAAGAAAACACAGCATGCACATTAATATAGCCAAAGACTAACAAGCTATAGGAACAGGAAAGTATTCATTGAAGTAATTGGACTTTCTGTGGCTGTTCAGTTTGTATTAACAGTTCCCAGTATGTCAGAACAGCTACATGTGTTAACTGAGATTTCTTATATTTGCCCACACAGTGAAGATCTAAATAACAAAGTTATCCCTAGTTGTCCAAAAGCAAATTTTACCTTACTTATGGCTAATTATTTGTTTAGCTGCTAGTTTTCAGCTCATGGTTCCTCGCGTTTGGAATGAGAACAGAGTGTGTCCTTCTTCCACTGCCTGCACAGGGCATGGCCGGAGCTGGGGTGGTCTGGCTGGAGGACTCCAGCACACTCTCTTGCTCCTGGTTCCCAGTCTCAAGGACAGTGTCCGCCCTACAGAGACCAGATGTCTCTTTCCTTACAGTGGGCTGCTTCTCATTCACTGGCTGGTCAAATTCAAATGCTGATTTCCATTCTCTTTAGGTGTGCATTTGAGAGGACAGTAAGCAAAGGGATAAACTTTCCTTTTGTGTTCTCCAGTTAGTGCTGGCTTTATGACTTGTGCCCATCATACATGAATTAAAAGCATACCTTTACCCTCTTCCTCTTTTGAACAGGGCTTGGTTTTGGTTCTGTCTTAACAAATGTTAATGACTAACTGCTCTTGCTGCCTTCTGTTTTCTGCTGCATAATGGAAATTGTGCCCTCTTCTTCCATATCAGTTTTGCTGCCTTCAGAATGAAACAAATTTCTCTGTAGTTCTTGGAACAGCTTTTAGAGACCTTGTATGTAATAATACACCACTCTGAATTAGTAAGTAATGACATGACCTTTTCTTCTCCAAAATTCATTCTTGAGTAGTATGCTGAGATACTATCTCCTCATGTGAATGCTTGACTAGAGAGATGAGTTTTGATATGGGCGTGCGTGACAGGCACACTTGATAGCCTCTCTTCCCCCATGAGGAGTTAGAACATGCCACAGCCTGAGTGAAACCCTCCTGTCTGGTTACTTTGTGCCAAATAGTGTCATGTTTTTTTACTATGTTATGTTTTCTTTGCATGTAGACTTTAATAGGAAAGTTAATCCAAAAATCTAGTGTTTGCATTATTGCAAAGCTGCTTACACATTTAGAAACTGGAAGTTACAAATACATGGGAAGATACTAAT